GGGCATAATGAGATCACTATTCTTAAGTCCTTGTTAAGTGCGTTAAAGCAAATTTGCAGAAGTTTCGTAGCACGTGTACATAAGCCTAGTTGAGTAGAGGTGCTGGACTCCAAAGTTTTGAATCTGGACTCTGAATGAGGTTGTTTTTGTCATTGTTCAGTTGCAGAACACCTGTGGAAGCTGCAGTTGGTGTCCACAGCGTATCTTCTTTTACATGACTCATTGCCTCACTTGGGAAAATCATCCTGTTCCAAGGAGCTTGGAAGTCTGCATAGTTCAAACGTGCCTCTGGTGTATTCCTTTGGATCAATTTTTCTTTAAAAATTCCTTTAGCCAGAGGCTATTTATAACTACAGGAGTCATAAACTAGCTCTGACAACAAGCCATGTAGAAGGAATGTGCCACTCAGATTTCTGCTGATGGAGATTTTGAAAACAGGACAAATAACTTTCCATGCTGTGCAGGAAGGCAGTGAAGTACGCAGCTCTCGGCTCTCCAGGCAGGGGGCTGAGGGGGAGAGCTGGTGAGCCAGCCCTGCCACTGTTGTTTTCCTCTCTTATCTCCATTTTGAAGATAACTGCTCAGTTTTGGGCCCTAGGGCTGGAGTCTTCATCTCTGTGGGAACAAGGGAAGGTGATGGGCAGGGCTGAGCCTGGGCCACACCATGGGGCTGGATGCTCTGCTATGGGGTGAGTTTTGCTGGCTGCCTGCTGCTCTGTGTGTGGGGAGGCTGCCAGTGATGAGGGAGTGCTGCCTCTGCCTGTGCAAGCTGCGCTTCTGGGAGTGACGCCCCTGGCACCTGCTCTTCTGAAAGGGTCTGCTTCAATAAGAGGTATATAGAAAATGGTATAAAATCAGTGACTCGACCTCCTTAGCTGAGCATCCCTAGATACCTTCTCAGGTGCAACAGCTCTGAAAGCAGGTGTGTAATATTATATCTCTAGATATTGTTTTTTATACATATATGGGGCAGCATGCACACATAGTCACAGCTACAGCACAGATACTTCTAGCAAATGCAGATGTTTTACATGTATTTTAAGTGAGTCCGTATCTGTGCACCGTGGTACGATCTGTACAGACCTGAGGGCAGGGGATGGGCAGGTGGCTGTGATCTGCAGCTGGAGCGCCTGCAGCAAAGGCCTTGTGGTGGGCAGCAGGGGGCTTCCTGCATCAGCTGCTGGCATAGAGTCATAGAATGTGTTAGGCTGGAAGGGACATTTAAAGTTCATTTATTCCAACCCCCTGCAGTGAGCAGGGACATCTGTAACTAGATCAGGTTGCTCAGAGCCCCATCAAGCCTGACCTTGAATGTCTCCAGGGATGGAGCCTCCACCACCTCTCTGGGCAACCTGCTCCAGTGTTTCACCACCCTCATAGTAAAGAACTTACTTCTGATATCTAGTCTAAATCTACACTAGATTAGAAAGTGCAGCCCCTTTACCAGCAATGCCTACACTCATGACAGCATCAACATTTGTGGGAGATGATCTGATGTCACACTTTCCAGCTGCAGACGACTGGCCTACAAAAAGGGCAGGCAGCTCAGGCGGCACAAACGTGAATAGGAACACGCCGTAGGGCTGGGCTTTCCCCAGCGACTCTACCCTTCTGCATTTCACTTTCTCACAACGAGCAAAAAATCTGCTGGACGTGCTACCCACCAGCTGCAACACAGGAGAAACAAAGTCAGAAGTTTGACTGGTAGCCAGCTCAGAGAATTCTAAACCACTAAGTACTGCAGAAGTATAGGTATTAAGCTGGTTCATAAGCAAGGTAGTTTGTGAACTGCACAGCTGAAAAACAGGGACTCCCTGAGATGGATGGTCCTAAACCGAGATAGCACTCGCTGCTTTATATCCCAGTCTCTCACAAGGAGAGATTGGGAGGGGAGCTCCATCTACACCTCTGCAGTTCTTTGGTGCACAGGAGCTGCCTCGGGAGCAGCCTCCAGGACAGACACCCACACTGGACCGGCTGCTTGTGTGAACATCTTGCTACTCAACTCCAGGACGGCCAGCATCAGAAGACTCCTGAGCTCAGTGGCACTGCTCCTGTTCATCTCCCGTGCTCCCGTGGCCAGAGGGCTCCTCTCCAGGTTGGCAACTGGGTAACTTTCCTCTAGCTTCAGCACTCCTTGGGACAAATCTGAGTGCGAGCGGTGCCATTCCCCAGCTGGAAGGCTGAGGCTAATGGGAGAGTGATGCACATATTGCGTGGTCTTGTGCCAGCTATTGCCGTCAAGGCTGAGTAAAAATTCAAATTTATTTTAATTTCGTTGTTCAGGCATTTTAATTCCATCAAAGCAAATAGCACAAGACAATCTACAAATATTCACTCGCTACATTAAAATGAATTTGATTTGGCTTTGCTTGGTTTCTCCTTTTTGGCTTTTACTTTGAGACTTACTTCTTGCTTACAGGCAGAAGTATTCAAGGGCTGTGAACCTTAAAAATTTCTGTCTAAATTCTATGTTTTGCACATGAATATTTAAACAGAGTAATATACTCCTTTCTGTAAGGCCCCATTTTTAATCATTAATGCCTGTTCTTTTGAGCAAATAAACCCTATATATATGACTTATATGCATTTTTTAAAAGGAGGTAGTTCTCTGGGACAAATTCCAACATGACAATATTCTGTATATGAATATTTATAGAGCCATCAAAATTGGTGAATATTGAATTTGCTGATAAACATTGTGGAGGTTTTTTTTTTTACTTTTCTTTTGAAAGAGACAGAAAACTTATTTGCAATTTGGGTCAAATTCAGTATATAATTTCAGTCCCAAAGCATCTTTTTTATATTTTGGTTAAAAAAAATTCAAACTTTCAAACTTTCTGATTGAAAGCAACTTTTGCATGCATAATTTATCCAAATTGCAAAAACCTCGAAGCCTTATTGACAGTATTGAGTAAAATGAAAAAAAAACCAACCAAACCATTTGTAGGAAAGATTTTAAGTAAGCCAAAATTAAACTTGAGAGCTTTGTAATATAAAAGTTACGTTGCCTGTTCCGTGTTAGTAGTGGAATACTGATCAATGTGGTTGCACTGGCATTGTTTTCAGGTTGCAATGAGAGCTTTTCCTTCGGGTGCATCAGTGTTTTGTTAAAGCTGTGCAGAAAACCATCAGGCTGTTTTCTGAACGTGCATACATATTATGTTGTGTTTCAGAAAACACTATTGCTTCTTGCACTTGGCTCACAAATATGGCAGCATTTGTTCTTTCTGTGCCACAAGTGTGGCCACGTTCTGTTTTTTTCTGCTGTGCACCAGGGGTCCTCACTTGATATATTTTACATTTAAAATGAAAATTTTTAATGGTGCATCATTGAATCATTGAACTTTTACAGCAGGTGATACCAGATGAAGATTTAGGTTTCTGTGTGCACAGTGAGCCCTCGCTGCCTTTCCTCCTCCTCCCAGCCCCTATTGAGGAGCATGCTTGTGTTTAAAAATGGGTGTGAATAGTGCATGACCTAAATGTGAAGTCTTGTCTTTCTGAATCAACCATTGCACAAAGATATGTGCTTGTCTGGTGTGTATTGGGTTTTGAGTTGGGAATGAAAACCATGGATTAGTATTTCCCACAGGATGGAAGCACCATTTTCAAGTCATCTCTAGCTGCGGGTGACTCATTTGGAAAGTAAGTGATTAAAGAGATACAAATGATGCCGTGAAGGAGAAAAAAGGACTACCTAGAAGACAATCTGAGGGAATGCAGAGGCAAGTGGTGGAAAATGAGATAGCTTTATGGGCAGGCCACTGGGAGCCTCAAGACAAGAGTGTGGCCACCAATTTTTGACAGGAACATGAAAAAGCCGCGCTCAGGATATGGCTGCTGTAGTGTTGCAGAAACAGGCACACGCTCTGAGACCTCGGCTTTATGTGCAGCTACCTGGGAGCGCAGCACCGCATTGGCTGGGAAGCCTTCTGCTGTGAAAGGACCCACATGTGCCCAACTGCAGTCCTTGGCACTTGAGCAGAAGAGGTTGGGATCTTGACTGTGGGAATGCATGTGGATACTGTTCAGTACAGTGTCATGCAAGTTTGCTATGCCAAATTGATGTCATTTATGTATGATAGCTAAACACAGGAAAGTACTGGTGGTGTTCTTGGTCAAATCCACATTCAAGCAACAGCTGAATGGATTTTAATCAAAATTCTCCACTGGTAACCACAGATACTTTGATTGGGAAGCTTTTGGATAGCATGGAGTTCTGTATTTTTGTGGAACCAGAAAGCAGTCTGTTAGGATGACAGTACTGTCTCAATCTTACCAGTGAACTACTGCCCTTTTTGCCAAAAAGAAGCTAGTAGTTTATAAGATATGGTCTGTTAAAAAGCATATATAGTTGTAGATTAGTGTAGGTTACTAGATGCCTTTTATTTCACTGTGTCTATGAAAGCAGGGAACAAGCTCGAATTTTTATCTCTTCCAATAGGACTGCTGCCCTTTTTGTTCTACTACTGAAGTAGAGTTACTGTTCAAGAAATTAAAAGCATATAAAGGTTAGGAAAAATTTATTTTCCAAATAGTTGATGAAATCTAGATCCTGAATTTCCCTATACATGCTGTTACCTCATTTTTTTCTGAAAAAGTTGCAGTGTGCGCACATTTGCTTCTGTAAAACCTTTTTTTCATGTACTGTGGGTAAGTCTACAAAGCGGCAATAAAAGGTCTGTAGCCAACTTTGTGCTAGCTAGTTCAGCATGAATAGTGAGCAGGTAGAGACCTGTAAAATGGTGTCAGAGATCCTGGATTTTTAGAACTTGTTTGTAAGCAGTAGTGGTTTTTTTATTTTCAGAACCCTTTTTGCTTTACCTTCTTCAGCACAAGAATGATACTTGACATGGGGCCTCATTTAGAACTTCTGTGTGAAGAGGAAACAGAGGTTTTACAACATGTACTCTTTGAAGGGACTTGCACAGCGATTTGTGACTACGTGTCATTTTCTTTGCTTTTGCTTTCTGCAGTGCTGATTCCTTCTGTTAAAGATGGCTCAGACATGGGCAGTTCTGGTGTCACTCCTTTTCTTGCTAATCAGTCTTGCTGAAGGGCCAGGTAAGTGAGAAGATCCAAAATTACACACAGCATTCTTTGTTAGTCTGTATTTCCAGCTCTCCAGTACATTGAAACTTTGTAGTTCACCAGAAATCTTGCTTATTGTTTAATGTGAATGCAAAAAGCGATGTCACGTCAGCTTGAAAAATAATTGTGTGCCTCTCAGAGTAGCACAGGATGATATATCTGGTAGGAATCCAACACAGATCATCTGAAGATGTTCTCCTGTTCAGCTTGGACAGTATCAGGAGAACTATGATTTCTCATAGGAAAGGGCTCTACTTCACCAAGGTTGCGGGTTTGATCCCCTTTCGGTCCCCATGTGTTGCCTGATCTAGTTGAGAGGTGTTCCTGCCCATGACAGGGAGGTTGGATTAAACGATCTCTAAGGTCCCTTCCAGCCTAGGCCATTCTGTGATTCTATGATTCTACTTACGCCTCTTCCTAAATATGCCTTGTGAAAAACTGCACCTTGTACAGTTGTATGCTTCACTGCTAGGCCCAGTTTTATGTGCACTTCAATCATAGAATGGCCTAAGCTGGAAGGGACCTTAGAGATCATTTTAATCCAGCCTCCCTGCCACCAGGGACGCCACCTCTTGACTAGATCAGGCAACACATGGGGACCGAACGGGAATCAAGGCACCTAATTCAGTAATACAGAAATGTTTTGAAAAAGTAGTTTTCTTTCCCTTAAGGGTGAATCTTGCCCACGCCATCAATTTTTTGAAGACCATATACAAGCAATAGAAATCTATTGCCTAAAAAAAAAAGAAAGAAAGGGTGGAGGACTTGCATTCATTACATACCTGCATAGCATCCACAGCAGAAAAGCACCATCTCCACCACATTTCCAGACTTCAAAGACTGACAGCAGGAAGCTGGACCTGTTATATGGACCTGACCATACTTATATATGGTTGCACAAAGCAATGTGTCCCCAAGGCTGCCAGTACAGTAAGGAAGAGGAAATTTTTAAGTGTGATGAAGCCAAGAGTTTCCTATGCTTTGATGATGGCTCTAGCATCGTTTTTAATGTCTTTTTTTTTTTTTTTTTTTTTCCTGACATAGCTTACAACATGGTGAGTGTGGAGACTGGTCATGAGGCTCTGCTGAGTTGCCCTTATGTCTCTGAGGCATCTTTGCTAATGGTGACATGGAAAATGAAATGCAGCACTTGCTGCTTGTTGAGCTACAGAAGTGATCACAATGAGACAAGGAAGGTAAACTGCAGTGAGAGGATGATGTGGAAATATTCCCCTGGCAGTGACCCTGCTCTTCGTATTTACCCTGTGAACCTCAGTGATGAGGGAAATTACACCTGTGAGGTTGTCAGCAGTGAAGGGAATTTTCACTTTCCTTCTTCTCTGTCTGTGACAGGTAAGACATGCTTTGTGATTATTTCTGTTTGTTTGTGTGCAGATAAAAATGATTTGAGTTGGAGGCAAAAGACTAAATTCATTTTGGATGCATACTGAAATTGAAAATAAAGAGGTAAACTGATTTAGTCTCGCTACTCAGAGAAGGGGAAAAGGCATGAATTAAGCAGTAGGACTTGGCTGTTCTATGGAGGAATAAGCTGGAGGGGGGTTTGTTTGTTTTTTTGACTTCTAACTCATGAAAGGGGAGGTTTTAAAATGCCCAAATATAAAAGTCTGCCTAGTGTCTGAGAGACCTCTTTGGGTGTATCCTGCGGTTTGAATGTTGTTGCACAGTTTTGTCTGATTCCTCCCTTATTTCCCTACTGTCAAATTCTTGATTCTACCTACCCAATCTCCTGAATATTTTAGGTGGAGACTCAGCAAACTGTGTTTTCTTCAGTATGTATGCTGCCATACTTATAAATCTTCATTTAATCCACCTCTCTCTGTCATCTCCTCCTGTTAGTGCTCTAATCACCTTTTGGAAAACATGGGGAAGCAGCACTTTTAGATGCAGCTAGCTAGTTTTGGAAATAATCATCTTAGACATTTTGGGTTTTCAATTATTTTTTCCCCCTAAAGATCTAATATTGGTGCTAATATTCCAAATTATTTTAAGATCTCTTGAATCAGTCATGCAAATGAAAAATACCACCTATTTTTCAGTTTCTCAGTTGGCAGTTTTATACTGAACTAGAAATAATGGTTTTGATCTTTTATTTTCTTCTTGTGTAGTCCCTCCTACAGTGACTCTGACCTGTGACAAGAGCAGGGTGGCTGTTTGTCAAGCAGCTGCTGGAAAGCCAGCTGCTGACATCTCCTGGATCCCTGCAAGTAATCACAGCACCGAGGAAGAAGTCCATCACCTCGATGGAACAGTGACCAGAGTGAGCCACATAGACTGGGTCAACAGCACACTTCCCACCGTCACCTGCCTGGTTACTCACCCAGCTACAAACCAGACCCTGTCCCTGTCATGTAAATAACATCACCCTGAAATTCCTCTTCATCATGCTCTTGGACTTCTTTGTGCTGCTCTGTGTGGCTGTTCCAATGGAATGTCAGGACTCTGCAGATTGTTTAATGGGGTTAAGCCGAAGTCTTAGTGCATGGTGGTAGAGAAAATGTATTTTTGACTTAGTCAGTTGAAACCAAGTGTTTCGTGGCATTTTATGGAGAAACTTTCAGTGTGTGTTTTTTTCTATCTCTGTTCTGATTGACAAGAGTTCCTCGTTCTCCATGTCCAGCTTTCCACAGTGGTAATCGTCTGGAGAAAAATTCCTTGGAGAATGTCTGTCTTTGACTTTCAAGTGATCTTTCTCAGGGCAAAAGGTAGCAAAGGGTAGAATTCAGCTTCTCAGCTAGCAGTGCTGGATTTGTTAGAACAGCCAAATAAGTGCTCCTATCACCAAAAATATCTCAGTAGACGCATGAAGGACAGAAGTCAGCATAGGGCAGTTGTTTATAACAGCATTTTGCAGAGGTGACTGGTCAGTTCCATTGTTGCAGGCCTAATATAATTGGAAGAAAAGGAGACTGTGAAAATGAAATCATGTTTATACACACAAATGACTGAATGTGTGAGGCAGCTTCCTGTTGCTGGCTGGCATAAAGTCGTCTCATCTGTGTCTCTCAGCTCATTTGAGCTGTGAGCGTAGAGGGCTATCTTTCTCCTCTGGCTATCTCTCTCTCTCTGACTGTGGTTATGGATACTGATGTCTAGCTTTGTAACTAACTTTCTCTTCTCACCTCTCAGGTACTTCTCCCAGGCTTCTCTATCTCCTGATAGGAGGATCTGTAGGTGTTGCTGCTGTCAGTGGTGTGATTTTATATTTGATTTTCAGGTACACAGGTAAGTCATTTGATGAGCCTGAAATGTATTACAATTCAATTGCTGACTACGTGCAGGTACAAGGGCGTGTAATTTATTGCTGAGGAATGGCACGCAAGGATTGAGGAAAATGTCCATATGTTGTGCATTATCCTTGGGGAAAAGTCCTAATAAAATAAGGGGTGGAACTTGAAAACAAGCCCAGAGGTTTGTAAGAGCCATAGTTATTATATTAATGTATTATATGCATGGTGAAGAGTAATCCAGGATGAAAAGGATCCTTTCTAAGTGTAAGTATGTTTTGAGTTTTTAGAATTATTTTGATTGTTCTGCATTTACAGACAAAATTCTATGCATAAGAATGACAGTTCACAAACTAGTCTAAGGACTAGACAGAAACAAGCTCCCTGCTTCCATCAGGAACCATAAGTTTTCCCTTGAGAAATTGTAAGGATAGATCAAATGTATGTACTTCCCTCTTGTACATTCAGTTTCTCAGGCTGTGTAGAATTCATTGACACTGGGTCAAGCTGATGCTGAATAATTTGATACTGAGAGCGCAGGTGATGGTTTGCTGTTCCAAGAGTTGAGTGAGATGCATGTGATGGGGAACAAACCCCAGGTGGAGGCTCAAAAGTGGAGGCAAGAGTGTTTTCAGGAGACCAGGAGATGAAGCACTGGGAGAAGGCAACGTGGAGTTGGGTGAACTGTAAATGGAAGGAACCTGCAGGGAATCAGCATGCCTGATTTACTCCCCTCCATTGCCTCAGTGCTTGGCTTTACTGCTTGTATGGGGTTTGAATTTGCGCTCAATGTCTTTCAGATTATTCCTTCTGCATTGGACATGTTACATTGCAGATACATGCCACGAACCAGACCTGAACAAAAGGGATGGAAGAGAGAGGACAAGAGGGGACAATGAGGGGAGGTGTGAACTGGAAAAGCAGAGGATGCAGGGTGAGGGAAACAGAAAGCCAGGAGAAGGAAACAGAAGGGCAGTTGTCGTCAGCAATAGCAGTGCTGACCCATGCTTGCAGCAATTTGACAGGAGCCTATCCCTGTCACAGAGTGATGTGCTTCTTCGCGGCAGGTGAGGACAGGAGAAAATGTGCTCAGATGGCTTCCTTGGCCCAATGTGTCCCCACAGAACTGAGGAAAAATGCACCTAACCGAGTTCCCAGGGTGAGCAAAAGTTTCAACAAAGGGAAAAATAAAACAGTAGTATGTTCAAGAACACCATATAAAAAAATAAGAACTTAACCATATTTTGAAGAAAGTCTCTCAACAGCTGAGGGCAGCTAGAGGAGAACTTTAAACATAACAGCTGCGCACCTTGCCCCATCAAAACATTTTAATTTCCTGATATCCTACTTTCAGCTTTCAGGTTACATATATTGGCATGTGGGTCGGCAGTACCATCTGCAGTAAGTGGGATTTTTGTGTGCTTTGTGGTTTGGGTTTTTTTTTGTATGTGTGTCTGTATTCTTCAGCAAAATTTATAATTTCATTACAATGTGTCTGCTCTGACAAAGCTCCCTTTTTTCTCTGCATGTGCTTGGAGGGAGGAATGAGGAACAGTGTATGTGGGAGGGTGTCTATTGTCCAAATGGCCTTAACTTCATGTATATTCAGAGCATCTGAGTAATTGCTTAAGTACTAGATCAAGAGTGGAGTAGTGCGTTTCCTGCCTAAGGATGCTATAAATTAAATTTACAGTGATTAAGCTGAATTTTAAATCTCCCAGTAGTTAATGTTTTCACTTTTCTTCTTCACAGAGTAATCTTAACTCTGATCTTTCGCTTAAGAATGTGTATTGCCCTTGATGGAAGAAACCTGCCTGATTAAAGATATTGGCTGAAAACAAACATGCATTTTACAATGAGGGAAAGGGGTGCGCTTCCTTATGCTCTATTAGAGACAAACACAGCTATGAAACTTCGGTTTTAAGTTTCAATTCAAACACTCAGAAGCTAGGAAATAGCAGTGATAAATTCGCCACCACAACTTTTACTTCCCTAATTCCAGTGTGTTGTGATACATATTTAACAGCAATGTAATATGCTGCTTTTTCCTCAGGGTTTCTACCTCATTTAATGTGCATTGAAAGAGCAATTATTTCATAGTATGTTTTCACGAATGGCTGTGTGCCATGTTTGTTGCCAACTAATCCAACAGTGCTCTGAAGTTAGAATGATTAATTTCCTGATATGCTTTTCTATGGCATTCACAACAATTTGAAGGACAGGAGTGGGAGTTGCAGAGATCAAAGTTAAAAGCTTTCAGTAATTTTAGGTGCCTAAATTGGATTGCCTGTGGCCTGACTGGATTTTTTTTCAGAGAAGTTAGCGTTCTTCATTATCATCTATTTTGCTGAAAATACCGACACTTCAAAATTTGTCTTCCATCACATTACGAAAAAAGTAAAATAAAAGGCTGTCCTGTTTAGGCTTTGTGAAGGCAGTTGTTGCATCTGTCTATCAGTTTAAGTTTCACCCTCTGTGCCCTACCTCTTTGCTCCCAGAGGTTAGAGAAATAACTTTGCTGTTCTTTTACAAAAGTAGTGTTACGTACTGGGTTACTTATGGTCTTGTTTTTTGGTTGGACTCTATAGGTATGATGGTTCCTCAGAATTCTAGCATGTAATACAATGGTGTGTGTTTTTCTTTGTATTGCAGGCTACACTATCACGTGCGAAAGCAGATGTCTTATCAGAGGCTATCTACGAGAATTACCAACCACAAATGGTACATATGAGAAATTAACCAGCAGCCTAATAACAGTTCAGCAAGTAATAATACTCAGTTACATGATGTATTGGGTCAGGCTGAGGTGAAGTCAATCTTCCCATAGCAGCTCTCTCAGTGCTGGTTGTTTTTGTTTTTCTCTTTGGAGTGGTAGCTAGAAGGGTGTTGATAGCACCCCAGTGTTTTGGCTACTGCTGAGCAGTGCTCACACAGCACCAAGGCTGTGGTTTTGGTTTTTGTTTTTGTTTTCCAACGTTCCCCCAACAGTAGACTGGGGGTGGGTAACATCTTGGGAGGGGATAGAGCTGGGCCAGCTGACCCAAACTGACCAAAGGGGTATTCCATACCATATGATGTCAGCTCAGACATAAAAGGGAGAAGGAAGAGGGAAGTGGGGCGGGCATTCGCTGTTTTGTGCTTGTCCTCCCGAGCAACCGCTACGCGTTCTGGAGCCCTGCTTCCTACAAAAGTGGCCAGACATCGCCTGCTGATGGGAAGTAGAGAATAATCTTTGTTTTGCTTTGCTTCCATGCGCGGTATTTGCTATTGCTTTATTAAACTGCTTTTTTATCTTAACCCACGGGCCTCTTTTTACATCTTCCCTCTCCCCTGTCCATCTAAAAGGGGAGTGATAGAGCGACTTTGGTGAGTGCCTGGCCTCTGGCCAGGGCCAAACCACCACACATGAACTTGCATTTCAGTTAGCAAATCTCAGACTTTACTGCAGAGCAGGCCAGCAGAACACTTAAAACCGCCCTGCAAAATCTTTTGTCTCTCCTGACCTAAAGACAGTGGGGGAAAACAACAGGTTTTAGTAAATTATTTCTCTCTTTCTCTAGATACCAGTATGGCTCTTGAACCATTTGAAATTTTTAAATACATATCTGAATTTTGTTTGAAAATGGGCTCCAAGGTATGTGGTGTTTCCCATCAAATCAATAATTGAGATACTTGTGCCACAGTGATAGACTGCTAGTGAATACGTAGCACTTTTTTCCATTTTTGCACCTGGATTCTCTATGCAGTTTTGTGGTAGAAACCAGGAAGTGACAGGTAACCTCAAAACACAGAAGGTTAAAGAAATGCATCCAGCAGAAATGCAGATATAAATGAGTTATTTTGGTTTTTTTTTTATTTGTTTGTTTTTTGTTTTTTGTTTTTTTTTCTGAGTAGGTAGTTACATGTGGCAGATGACAATCTACTACTTGTCATCTTCACATATTTTTTATGTTTTCAATAGATTTCTTTTTCAATTAAATGTTCTGTTCACATTCATAATAGAAGAAAAAAAAGCCAGTTTGAAATTGTACTGGGTATAGAAATCAGAAATTGCAAATGTCAAATTTTTAAGATTAATTTTGAAGTAAACATGCAAATATTTACCTAAATGATTTCTGGGGCTATTTGGAAAAATGTTTATTGACCAGTTTGCTAGAAGCTGAGATCACAGCATGGTTTACTGAGTACAGGGGCATTAAGCTGTGAAAAAATGCTGGAGGTGTGCTTGTTTAAAACAAACAAAAAACCCCCTAAACCAAACAAAAAACTCAAACAATTTATTTCTTCACATCCTCATGCCCCTGAGCTGAAAAACAGCTAAGCAACTACAGGCTAGTTCTTAATTTCAGTTTTCATTAGTCAGACCTGTCAAACCTTCCAAACAATAATGCAGCAGCAACTACATTCAAATGTGTGTTTTGAATGGCCTGTGGCTGCTGCTTGTCGCTGCGGGAAGTCACCTCTGCTCTGTCAGTATTCTTAGTCATGAGGATCTCCTAGTGCCTTTTAATTGCACTTCACTTTATCACCTCTAACTAGACATGGGTGAGCACTTACTGGCATTGCTCCAGCCTTTCATTTTAGTTAGAAAGGCAACTCCAAGGCAGTCAGTTTCACCTCTGTGCCTGGCAAGATCATGGAGCAGATCCTTCTGAAGGCTCCACTATGGCACATGGAAAACGTGGAGGTGATTGGTGGCAACCAACATGGCTTCACCAAGGGAAAATCCTGCCTGACAGATCTTGTGGCCTTTTATGATGGAGTAACAGAATTAATTGACAAGGGAAGAGCAACCAATGTCATCTACCTGGACTTGTGCAAGGCTTTTGACCAGGCACGGCAATCTGATCTCCAGGTTGGAAAGATATAGATCTGATGGATGGACCAGTTGGTGGGCAAGGAACTGCCTGGAAGATAACACTCAAAGAGTTGTGGTCAATGGCTCAATGTCCAAGTGGAGACCAGTGACAAGTGGTGTCCCCCAGGGATCAGTATTGGGACCGGTACTATTTTACATCTTTTTGACGACCACATGGACAGTGACAGCGAATGCACCCTTGGCAACTTTGTGGTCAACACACTGGAGGGAATGGATGCCATCTAGAGGGACTTTGACAGGCTTGAGATGTGGGCCCAGGCCAACCTCATGAAGTTTAAAAAGGTCAAGTGCAAGGTCCTGCACCTGAGTCGAGGCAATCCCAAGCACAGACAAAGGCTGGGCAATGAGTGGATTGAGAACAGTCCTGGGGAGAAGCACTTGGGCGTGTTGGTGAGTGATAAGATCAACATGAGCCAACAGTGTGCACTTGCAGCCCAGAAAGCCAACCATATCCTGAGATGTGTGACCAGCTACTCTGCCCTTGTGAGACTCCACCTGGAATACTGTGTCCAGCTCTGGAACCCCCAACACAAGAAACATATGTAGCTGTTGGAGCGAGTCCAGAGGAGGCTACCAAGATGATCAGAGGGCTGGAACACCTTTCCTGTGAGTAGAGGCTGAGAGAGTTACGTTTGTTCAGTCTGGAAAAGAGAAGGCTACGGGGAGTCCTTATGGTAGCTTTCCTGAAGGGAGCCCACAAGAAGGCTGAGGAAGGCCTTTTTAAAAGGGCCTGTAGTGATAGGACAAGGGCAGAAGCTGGAAGAGTGTAGGTTTAGGCTAGATGTAAGGAAGAAGTCCTTTATCCTGAGGGTGGTGAGGCACTGGAACAGGTTGCCCAGGGAGGCTGTGGATGCTCCGTCCCTGGAAGTGTTCAAGGCCAGGTTGGATGGAGCCTTGAGCAACCTGAGGTGCCCCTGCCATGGCAGAGTGGGTGGAACTAGATGATCTTTGAGGTCCCTTCCAACCCAAATCATTCTATAATTCTAGAAGAGCGACTCTCTGACTTAATGAAAAGTGCCTACAAAAGGCAGTCTATTCATGCCTGGTAAGCACAAAAAGTCTTTCTTGTGATGTTAAATCCCAGTGATGGGTCGCTATTCCAGAGCTGTGTACAGTTTCTTAGTGTCTCATACCTGGAATACTGTATCCAGTTTTGGGTTCCAGGTGGGTGTCAAGAGGAAGGGGACAATCTCTTCTCAGTGGTGCCCAGTACAAGAACAAGGAATAATGGGTGTAAGTTAGAACACAGGATGTTCCACCGCAACATGAGGAGAAACTTCTTTACTGTGAGGGTGACAGAGCACTGGCACAGGCTGCCCGGAGGGGTTGTGGAGTCTCCTTCTCTGGAGACTTTCAAAACCCGCCTGGATGCGTTCCTGTGTGGCTGCACCAGGGGATCCTGCTCTGGCAGGGGGTTGGACTAGATGATCTCTAGAGCTCCCTTCCAACCCCCTTCTGTGATTCTGTTATTCTATGTCATCCTTGGGACAGAAGATGCACCATTTCCTTTTATAAAGCCTCTGATAAACGATAGACAGATTGAAATTAGTGAAAACAGGTTTTCAGTGATGCTAGCTGGGAAAAGTGTTTTATAGCTCTAGTGAAATCCACAGCAGTATCTTACTCTCAGGAAGTGGTTTCCCAGTTCTGCTGGCATACAGCTGGCAGTGCATGGTGGGCATGATCTAGCCTCCTTTTATTTTTTCTCCCTGACACCTGGGACCTTCCACAATCACTTACTGTCAAGGGGTTGGTTGTGACTGGGAGCCTCTGAAATAGAGGGGAAAAAAATCTCTTTGTTTCTTAGGGAACTGTCCAGCTGGGTCTAAAGCTGGGCTTCTAGGCTGGTGTTTCTCAGTACAAGTGGGCACGGCCCATTCCTGTGGACAGTGACAGCAGTTTGAATGTGTCTTATTTAGAAGCTGGACCATTGCAGCCAAACTGAAGGATGACATAGCTGTCAAAATGAAGAGAGTTAGGTTGTGGAGCAGTCTGCTTTTGGCAGCCATGATGCACACGTGTTGTGATTTTTAGAGTGCAAAGCAAGAATTTTTCGAAATTCCTTTGTACCAAGTGAAACGTTGAAGAGCAAGATTCAATGCAGACAGACAGGGAGAAGATAGTGCAGAGGGATAAAACCCTCTGGAAAAACAAATCTGCAATAATTAACCCTGGCTGAAAAGCATGGCTTCTATGCTCCTTATTTCATTTTCCCCTTTAATTTGTATTTCCTGGAATTGGTCCAGTCACCTGCAATGTGTCAGCATTTCCTAGAAATTTTGAGGAGACTTTGATGTGCTGAAACAAGGTGCTCTGGCAACAATATAGGTCCCTTTGTGCTGCAGGTACTCAGTGAAATGGGCTCCCCTGGCACTTCTCTGGCTCTTAATGACCACATAGAGTATGGTTTGCCTGATTTCACATTTCAAGAGCAAGTCCTGCTGCAATGTCTCAGAAGACTAGCTTACAGCATTGTGGCCTAGTCAGACTTTGATCATCACCTATTCACTGCCAACAAAAAACTCGTGTTATCAACCTACTGCTCAGGCAAACCCACGTGTTGCAGCCACTAAAAAGGCCTCAGCTGCCTAATTGTTCTATCTTTCTTCTGCAATAAAATTGGCCCTGGTGCTCTTCAAGCTTGTTGTATATGATTAATAAAACTTATTAGGCCAAAGAGAATAATGTATCTAGCGGGGGTGATTGTGAGAAAGGCTGCGTCATGAATAATGCTTCTAAGCAGAACATAATAATCAAACAAGCTCAGTTAATTTTCTGCTCATCTTTTGTACGTGTTATAACACTGGCACAAGTGGTAGGCAGTTTCAGAAACAGAGTTTGCCTCTCTTTTAGTTGTCTGCATTTCGCTGGGGCTTTTGACCTCGGGAGTACGTATTACATCCAAGCTGCCAACAGGTGATAACAATTCTAGTGGGCCTGTCAGCTCTGCTAATAGCACTGTCTTTGAAAGGAGGTAGATGGGGATTATCCAAAACAGTAGGCCTGTGTGCACGCTGAAAAAGGAAGACCTTGGTGCTTGGGATTAGCCATAGAGATCTGCGAGTTGCATGATTTTGTATGGAAGTAAAGTGAGGAAAATGGGAGATACTGGAGAAGGGGGTTGACGGAGAGAACGATAAGGCTAAGAGAGTGAGCATCATGTTAGGTCACTGCAGCTTAATACCTAATAGTGTGGTTAATTACTTTTATCATTCAAGCTGCCTGTCTCTGGGTGTCTTAAATGCCAATAATGGCTGGTGAAGGACAGACTTGTCACGTGGGAAGCACTCTGAGTTCGTCTTTTGGGGTGGAAAACCAGGCATGGGCTTTGATGGCTTCCTCTCTGCCATCACTGAGGAGGGGCGTGTGCTGTGCTCCTCATCTTATGAGCTGCACAGCAAAGGGCTAAAAGCCAGGACACACACGTCTCAGGGGAGCAGGGGAAAAGTGAGGGCACTGCTTCAGTGGCTCACCAGCGGTTTGACTCCTCCTCTGTCAGAAAGGCTTGTGCTGGGCTGGCAGCCAGGTCCACCTCTGCCACCACCCTCCGTCCCAGAAGCAGGGACCAGTTTGCAGCAGGGCCTGGCTACTGGACTGGTGCATCAGGGTGGATGGGCTGCTTGCAGGGGCTGGTAGCTGGTAGCCTGTCTGAGCTGTGTTCTCCTGGGCTGGCTGCTGAGAAAGTGCCTGTTTCCCACCTGTATTTTTTTCAAATCCCAATTTTCAAAACCAGGGTTGAAACTAAGATGATAAAG